TGGTGACAAGCTACCAGGCTTCCTGGAGGTGATCAGGCCTGGGGAACACGTGAGTCGTTGTTTTAACTTCTGTGTGTTTTGCAGAGTGTATGTGTGTGTGTGTGTGTGTGTGAGCGTGCGTGTCTGTGTATATCTCTGTGTGTGTCCACGTGTGTCCGTGTATTTCTGTGCGTGTGTGTGTACATGTGTGCACGTGTCTATGCGTGTCTCTGTGTGCACATGTGTACACGGGTGTGGGAGGGTGCCTGTGCCTTTGGTCTTGTGTGCATAATCAAACGGGCAAAGTGTGGGGTGAGGAGTGTGTTCTCCTGAGGACCAGAAGGGCCCTTGTTTGGATCTGCTGTGGCTGCTAGGTCAGGTTCCCGGAAGGAGATTCCTGTTTATATGGTGGCTTTGGGAAAAGTCCAGCTCCAGGCCTTGACCATAAACTGATGCGGGGGAGCCCCCCTCAGATGGATCAGGATGCTCAGTTAGTGCAGATTGGTATGGAGGGGGGAGCATAACCATCTGCTCAGTAATCTCGGTGCTCTTTACGTGCCCGGGCAGGGGTGACACCAGTGATGTCCTGGACGGTAGCCTCAGCAAAGCAGACCCTTCCCTGAAATCCCCTCCCCTACCGAGAGAAAGGACTAGTTCAGATTTGTAATCCTTTCTTTTTCCCTTTGGTGGAAAAGAGACAAGCTGGTAAGAAACTTTAAAGAACCCCAAATCAGGATGCTCCAGAGGGCATCTCTTACCCGTAATCATGAATATTGCGTTCCTGAGAAGATCTTTGTGTTTAGAAAGACTTCAAATAACCCCATCTTGATTAAATTCTAGAGGTTGGGTCAGAAGTCACATTTTCAATTTTCTCTCTGATTGTTGGAAGCTTACAGCATGTCATCACACAAAAAGTTGTACACAACAGTGCTTTCTGCAGTCTTATTACCGAGAAAACAATTATGACCAAGAAAAAGTCCGTAGTTGGGAAATGGGTTGGCAAAGGGGAAAAGCGGTAGGAATGTTCTGTGGTCACTAAATATATTAAGCTGAATGCATGTGGAACATAAACAGCAATGTGGAAAGCTGCTTTTTACGTGTGTTGCTTTTTGTAAAGATACGATACATAATTTTATGTTAAAGTTCTGGGTTTTGGTTTGCTTGTTTTTAAGATTCATAGCCAAAAAAACAGGAAGAAAATAGGCAAAATGCCTTTCCTAGTTATATTAAGCGGGTGGGATTTTGGGTGATTTCGTTTTTCTCATATTGACAATGATATGTTTATATTTATAGTAAAATGTTTTTTTTTAAACAAAGAGATGTCTCATTGCCAAAGGAATAAGATGCTATAATGCGGCATCATAGGAATGGTATATTCATTCGTAATCCACCTGTTTTGGTTAATTCAGACATGTCTTAGGCTAAAGATTTTCTAGACCTAAGAGCTTCATTAATCCGAGCGCATAAATAGCAAGGAAAACTTGAAGGGGTATCTTTAACTAGTTGAGAATGCATCGCTGTAGGTGTGTTAGAACTTTCTCTGTGCAAAATTATAATACAAATCAATGGGACACTTGCTTTCAGGCAGGAGCTGTAAGTACTTTTGGCTAGAAACAAGGGCATAGCTTGGGGTGGCACCGAAAGCCGGGACATTCCATTCTTATTTTTTTTTTTAAGATTTTATTTATTTGTTTGACAGAGAGAGACACAGCGAGAGAGGGAACACAAGCAGGGGAAGTGGGAGAGGGAGAAGCAGGCTTCCTGCAGAGCAGGGAGCCCGATGCGGGGCTCGATCCCAAGACCCTGGGATCATGACCTGAGCCCAAGGCGAACACTTAATGACTGAGCCACCCAGGCGCCCCCGGGATGTTCCGTTCTTAAAAGGATTTCTTTTTTCCAGCTTGGTTGAGCTGTAATGGACATTCAACGTTGTGTAAGTTCAATGTATACACCATGTTGATTTGACACATTTAGGTACTCTAACGTGAAGGCCACCATGCTGTTAGCTACCACCTCCATCCTGGCTCATAATTACCGTTTCTGGCCCTGAGAACATTTAAGAGCTACTCTCCTAGGGACTTTCAAGGACATAATATAGTGTCATTAGCTATAATCTCCATGCTGTATGTTAGATGCCCAGAATTGTTAATCTTGTAACTGGAAATTTGTATCCTTTGGTATCTTCTCATTCCCCAGCCTTTGGTAACCGGCATTCTGCTCTGTTCCTTTGAATTTGAGCCGGGGGGGTGGGGGGAGGAAGCAGCAGTTTATAAATTAGGGTTTGCTATTGAGCTGACTGTCCTCTTGGCCAGAGCCCAGGCCGGTGGCTCCCCTGGACGGGCTCACTGCACCACTGCTCTTGATGTGGGAAGTGCGTGCTGGTGCTCTCTGCAAGGGCAGGAACCACACTGAGGTGCCCAGTGTGACTGTGAACGCAGCCTGCTCTGGCTTTGAATCCTGCGTCCTTGTCTTAGAAGAGCTGCCGGGCCTCTCTGTAAGGTGGGGTAATTCCAGGACCCCTGGAGGCTGCCAGCCCAGCTTCAGTAGGAGGCTCTGTGCAGCTCTGTGTGCGCACGTCTGCCCTGCTCCTCCGGGGAGGCGGCCTGTGTGTCAGGCTTGGTCGCTTCAGCCTTCGCAGTCTCCTCCAAGTACCCATGCAGGACAACTTTAAAGCAAGTAACGTTCATCTTTTCTTGGCCGCTCAGAGCTGAGCCCCCTGCATGGAGCTGTTCTCAATGGCTGCTGGAGGCGCTTCTTCTGTTCAACATTTTTGCAGATGCCCCAGTTCACTGCGTGGCCAGCTGCCTGGGGTTTGACTGGCCGTGCAAACCGTGGGCTAAACAGCATGTCTGTCCAGTTATGGCTTTTGGCTGAGCCATTCCTGTGTGTGTTCATAAAATATTTATTGAGCACCTACTATATGATCAATGAGTGTAGTCCTTGCTCTGATGAGAGGTTACAGCCCGGTGCGTGTGAGAATATTAATAAAATAATTATATAAAGTGAATCTCATTAGAGGTTACAGTCCAGCAAGAGAAGTAAGTCATTAGAAAATCATTCTATGAGTTAAGGCAGAGTTGAAAACTGGGATTATTTCAATCAAGAAAAGGGACAGGGGACTGCGGACCACATCATGGCAGAGACTTTTATCTATTTTACTATCTGCTGTTGATGGGGACCGGATATGATCAGGGGTGGCCACCGTGGCAGGATGGAGGTTGGCATCAATGGGACAGAGAGACCTGAGCAGATCTAGCAGATTTACCAGCAGCGGGCAGCTCCCCAAGTGACCCTAGTATCCGGTTCACGAAAACAGAGATGGAAAACTTAAAATACTTTATCTTTCTAATCCTTCTCTGAAACACCATGCATTGACACTGTAAGCATCATACTTGGTGGCGAAACTCGTGGATCCCGCATAAGATGGGGTTCCACGTGCCTTCTGACAACTCCCCTCTGCCGTGTCGAGCCCCCTGTCCCCAAGGGGCAGAAACAGCCCTGAATCCTTCTCTCGGACCCTGTAACTCCCCAGTCACTTCTGTTGAAAACAGTCTTGTTAGTATTTAGGACTCAGCCCTGCTTGTTCTGGGACTTTGGTCCCCAGCTGGCTTCTTCCCCTTCTGTCCCTGCAGGCAGACCAGACAGGGACAGCTGCGGGGTGGGGGTGGGGGACACAGTTTGCTTCTTGCTGCTGTCACTTTTCTCTCTGTTCCTCTTGGAAATTCCTTCCCTTCCGGCATTCCCATCACCCTTGGGGGCCTCCCTCCTGCCCACTGAGTGAGGAGGGAGAGGAGACTGTTCCCAGGACTGCCTGCCCCTGGTGGGTTTCCATGTTTTTTGGGAAGTTTTTCTTCCTAGAAGCGACCCAGATCATAAATGGAGACAAAGTGGGGACATTAGAATGTCACCAGTCTGCAGCTCCTAGTGACATAGTGGGTCTGGCAACAGTCTTCAGGGACCCCTAGCATCGCCACCAGAGCTCTTGGCCATTATTCGCCCCCTGAGGAAATGCAAAGCACTCATGAAGCATTCTTGCCAAATGACAGCCTGTATCTGATCACATTTCTGTTCAGAACCACCAAGCTGTAGCAAATACAGGGTTCACAGGACTTGGCAAGAACAGGGGATACAAACAGCAAGATCCAGACTGTAAAGCTGCAGGACAATCTGATCTCTTGAACAAATTAATTACAAAGAAAAAAAAAAACAGAATACCTGTATATATACTGAGATTTGCTGATGGAACAACAGGGTGTCTGGGCTTTGCTTCAAACCAATCGTTGGTGGGAGGGGGTCTGGGGATGTGAGTGAACCAAGGTTTTGGAAGTGGAGGAGGGTGCATGAGGCCAGGTAGGACGGTCTCCGTTCCACGGTGGAGGGTGCCTGAAATTTTCTGTAATGAAAAGATATGCAGGGTTTACCCAAATTTATTTTGATCACAGAGCTGTTTTTCTCTATGGCATATCCCTAATGGGTGCTGAGGCTTTAGATAAGTGGGAAAGACCAAAATATTTTAAGGTCCTTGAAACACTGACTTTTTCTTTACATAGATTCTTTTGAAACGCTGACTTTAACCCATGAGCCGCAATGGAGAGAGCACGTTGCCTCTCGGGTGATTCAGGTACTTTTTGGGAATAAGTAATTGATTTTTTTAAAAAGTGAGAAGTCATGGGAATGAGGACAACAAGGCAATATGATAACCAGCACACACTGATTGTTTTTCAGGGTGTGTAGCGCTTAGGATGCAGTGGGTCCTGCTGGGCACCTTCAGGACACTTCCCAAGCACTGCTCACACCAGACCTGTCACGCAGGATCGGCTCACCCCGCTCTGCAGATGAAGAGACGGGGTGCTGAGTGGTGCAGGGGTACCAACCCAGGCTGCCTGCTTCTGACTCTGAGCTCTGTGCTGTTCAAGGCTGTCTGCCTTCCACCAGGGAAGCGGGGCCCCAAGGGTGAACTTGCTAAGATCATTTGGTGGCAGACCTTCAGCCTCTTTGCAAATGCTGTCTCTTTGCAGGGCATGGTGCAGGCGGGAGGGGTTCCCTCTCCTGGGGCTGCCCCGGACCAGCCCTGCGCGTTCAAGCTGGTCCTCTTGGGAAGTAGGTCAGTGGGCAAGTCCAGCTTGGCTCTCCGGTACGTGAAGAATGACTTCAAGAGCATCCTGCCCACCGTGGGATGTAAGTGATACGGGACAGCGTGCCCTTGGTTAGTCTGCTAGAGGAGAAGCCAGGGTGATGGCCCAGGTGTGGGGCATTTCCCACACTCTCCCGGGGCCTTGGGCTGCGCCCAGTACTGCAGGGAGGGGATGAGGCCCAGCTTGGTCAGACACACGTGCAGTCCAGAGGGCGGTCCGGTGTCAGCTTAGCAGGAGGCTGCAGGGGGCAGAGATTCAGGGTCAGGGCCTCGGGCCCCCAGGGCTTGGTGTGAGGGGTTCTACCTGGTGGAGGGGGAGCCCAGGGGAAGGCCCCCTAGGCTCTGCCACTCAGCTGCCCAGACAAGCCGACCTCCTCCCCTGCCCCGCGTCCCTCCTGCCAAAGCTATTCTCCTGGGTAGTTTCCTGAAGAGTGGCTCCCTTTCTGCCTGGTTTCAGTTTATCATCTGGCCTGGATTGGGGGGGTGGGGTGCAGAGGATGGGGCGGCTGGGAGGGAAGACCCTCTCCCTGCACTTCTTAAAGAGGTAACATATCATGGCTCTCAAGAGAAAGGCTCTTTGGAGCATCTGCTGGGCTGTCAGCCTCTGTCACGTGCTGTCTGGGGCTAAAATCCTGTTTCCCACCCAAAACAGAGGAACTCAACATGCACTTCATGCCGACCCTCCTGGCAGGTGGCCAGCATGGCGAAAGACAGATCCTGCACTCGGGGCCAGAGCCTTGGCTTCAGACTTGGACTCTGCCATGGACAAGCCTTCTGCTTAGCACTTTGTCGAGTCCACTCATTCATTCATTCACTCATTCATTCATTCACTCCCTCCCTCGCTCATGTAGCAAGTACCTGCTGGGCATGGCCTCTGTCCCAGGCTGCACTTGGTGTGGAGGATTCTAGAAGATGCCAAACGGGCACACTGGACATGGACACACAACGCTAAATTTGATGCATGCGTTAGCTACTTGGGAGCCCTGCAGTCTTCTCAGGAGGGTGATTCCCAAGAGCGCCTGAGGGCCACGGGGGCTGAGGGATCTGTCAGGCCCAGGCCCCCAGCACTAGTGGTGAGCCGGGCAGAGGAGGGGTGAGGGGCTGGCTCCAGGACGGGGGAGCTCCAAGAGAGCTCCGAGAGACAGTGGTTCAGGCTGGCTGAGGGGGCCCAGGGCGACCTTCTCCATCAGCAGGAAGCATGACACCACTCAGCCATGATACTGGACTGGACTTAAAAAAATACAATAAGGTGCTAAGTTTGGCCTCGGGGTGGGGGGGGTGGCTTCATTTGAGAGCAGAGACTGGAGAAGGGGGCCTGGCCCAGTGGGATCTCAAGGGCTGTGCACCTTGTGAACCAGGTGTGAACAGGTGATGCAGATTCAAGATGAGGAAGAGAGACAGCAGGTTCTAGACCAGACAGCTCCTTGGGGTTGCATGGAAGACAGAGGCCTGCAAACTGGCTTACTAGGGCTCTGCTTGATTTTGCAAATAAGGTTTTCCAGGAACCCAGCCATGCCCATCGTTTGCATATCCTGTGGGGCTCGTTTCAGTCTGAGGCCAGCATTGAGTAGTTGCAACTGTGACAGTAGGTCCCTTGAAGACGAAAATATTTACCGCCTTTTGCCAAAAAAGTTTGGGACCTTTGCTCTACCAATGTGCGAGAGGGGGCCTGTCCCCTAAGAGGCAGTGGGCTGCCCCTGGGCTCCAGTGGGAGGGGAGGGGCGGGGATCGTGGTGTGGACACTTGCTGTGAGCCGGGAACTTGGCTCCATGGGATCAGCACTTGCTGGGTCCAAGGGGGTGGGCTGCAATGTGGACCCTCCCTGGGGGGCAGGAGGGGGCCCCTAAGCATGGAGCCAGCTGCGCCTGGGGATGGAGCAGGCACTCTGTATTAATGGGAAGGTCACTAACTTTCCCAAGCCAAGCAGACAGCGTTTCCCAGCCCACAGTAGGTACAGGGACGCTGGGTGAGGGCCTGTCCTGCCCACAGAAGCCTGCACCGCTTCCTTCAGCAAGTCAGGGACCACGCTGTCACCCTCCCCCACACTCTTCAGAGGTTCTGCTAGGCTCAGGAGGGTAGACAAGCCTGGGCCCAGGTCAGAGTGGGGGTCTTTGCCTGGGGGGCAGGCCTAGGTGTGCTGTCTCCACCTGTGGTCCTCTGCCTGGCCCCTGGACCAGCCTCATCCTTGTGGGCGGCTTTAGCTGCCCTCCCCCCTTCCAGGCTCAGGACCCTGCCTCTACCTTGGGGCTGGAGCTTTGGGCATTTGTTCCCTTCCCACTGTGCCCAGGGTGCATGAGTGTGTGGTGGCAGAAAACCACCAGATGAGCACCCACGGAGCCATGATGCTCTAGCTGACTCCGGCAATCCTTTATTCAAGCTGCTGCCAACCACAGGGATAGAACTTACTGATGGAGCTCCTGCTATGTGTCAGCAACCGTGCTGGGTGCTGGGGACGGAGAGGTGAAAAGCCCTCCTTTGCTGTGAGGAGCTAAATCACATGTGAAAATGCTGGCTTCCTCCACTTAAATGTCTGGGTCCACTTCACGTGCTTTATGATACCACAGCCTGTGGAGGTGGCTACTGCAATTATTGCATTACTATAAAAATAAATAAAGAAGGGCAGTTAATTATTTTATTTGTTATTATACTATGATATTTATCAGTGTATTATAGTCTATATGACTTATTCGTTATTATGCTGTTATAATTATTACATCGTTATATATTATTATAAAGGTCGATCTTCCCACTTTTCAGGCGAGGCGATGGAATACGATCCTTCCTTTCACTTATGTAAATGTAGTCTGTGTTTTACAAAAACCCTCTGAAGGCAGACGCTTGCTTCCGTTGCTTGTTTCCACATGTGGCATCAGCTTTATCGAGAGAACTTGCTTTTGTTCTAGAGCAGGTGCAGAGAAGCTCAGCCCAGCGAGAACTCGGGGCTCACCTCCTCCTCGGCAGGTGGGCAGGTCGGCAGGTGGCTGGGACAATAAAGGAGGGAGTGTGTGCCTGGTGCTTTGCGTACTGGAAACTCTCAGTAACTGTGAGCCGAGTGACCAACACATGGCTAAACGGCTTGTTCGCCCATCTTGACATTGTCGTCTGTGAAACGGGGATGTAGACACCCCCTGTAGTGGGTTCTCCATGCGAGGCTGGCTCAAGGCTGTCTTAAGTCGTGGGTTACCATGTTATGACTTAAGGTCATCACCTACCGACCCCCCCCTCCACTCCAGAGAGCAGAAGTGGGACCAGGGGGCTGGTGTGTCCCGGTGTCCCAGGTGGTGCTGCCTTCCGAGCAGGCTGGCTTCAAGATACTCCAGCCTTCAGGAGGGTGGGGGTCCCTGGGCCCCCTGCCAAGGGGTCTGGATCTGTGAGTGATCGCGGGCTGCACAGGCCCTGGGTACAGCCTTCCAGAATGGTGTGCAAGCCAGGACAGTGTTCTAGCTGTCTCAGGGCAAGACCCTGTCCAGCCAGGGGAGAGACAGACCCGTGTCCCCGAAGCAGAGCCAGACTGGGAATCTCAAGTGAGCACAGCCCCCTGGGGGTCCACCTGCTGAGGGGAGACCCAAAAAGCCCTGGAACTCCTGGCCAAACCCCCTGCCCCCCCCCGGAGGCCCCATCCCACTGCAGGAGAGGGCCTGGTGGGGGAGGTGGCAGCTCCAAGGGGGAGTGCTCTGGCCGGGGGCCTGAACCACGGGGAGCTCCGAAAGACCCCACTGGGCTCCCCGCAGACCCCTCATCCTGGAGTCCCTCCTGGCCACAGCCCTGGGAATTCTGGCCGCTTTCCCGATGCCGGCCGCACTGAGTGACATCTTTTGGAGAAACGGTGACATCTAGTGCTGGCGTGCGTATTTGCTGGTGGATCGCAGTGGCCTGTGTGCGAGGGAAAGGAAGGCAGCCCGCGGGCATTCAGCGTTGTCACCATCCTGGCCCCTGTCAGCTCCAACCCGGGAGAGATACTATGCATTTCAGTTTCCCTTCAACCAGGACTCTGCTGAAAGGCAAACACAGTGGAGAGGCTTCAGTGAGCGGAATCAGCTGTTTGTTGGCATTAAAACCAGAAAGAGCACAATCCCGTTCCTTATGTCAACATTTATGGAGACACTTTTTAATCTGGGGCAATACAGTAAAGCTGGGGGCAATCCGTCATTCTTACGCCCTTCACTGCACAGATGGGGGCGCTGTGCAGCTCACCTGCTTCCAGGAGCCCCCCTCCAGCCCCCCAGAGGATGGAGCTGAGGCCAGGGCAGGGCTGATGCTGGGGCGCCAGTGCTGAGGTCCGTGGTGGGACCAGAGGTGGAAGGAGACCTGGTTTGTGCCGTGATGGGACCATGATATGCAAATGCACCCGGTGGCCCCAGCTCGGTCCACCCGAGGCCCCGTGAAAATGTGTGCATGTGTCATCTCCACCAGCCTATTCTAGAATGGAAAAATTCCTGGTTCTTGGCCTGATCCACCCCCACTCCCCACCTTGTGGCTAATATCATTTGGTGGTTTTGGGCTTTAGCTGTGATGATGTAGAAAATGTGGTCAGTGGGTTTCTGAACAAGGGAGATAATTAATGTGGGCTGTTTTCCTGATTGGAGCCAAGGGTTTCCATGGGGCCGGGGTGGGTGGAAGGTTGCCTTGGGGACCAGTCCAGAGGCCCCGGAGGGACCTCATGTCTCTCTCCGGGGGAGTCAAGTCAAGGTTCTGCGGTCTGTGAACACCCCTTCACTCGTGCCTCAGCATCGCTGGGACTGAAAGCCCTCTCTGCAGCTTTGTTGGGGTGCACATGGATGGAGGCTCGACCAGCAGCCGTCGTTTACCAAGTAGAGAAGCAGCAGATGGGAAGCTAGGGTTGCTGAGCCGGGGAGGCTGACCCGAGCGTGACGCCCGTGGGGAAGCTGGCAGTGGCGGGTTTTAGGGTACAACCAAAATCAAGTTCAGGAATGTGACTGGACACGAGAGAAGGATGTGGACAGAAGGCCACCGTCCCAGCCGGTGAGTCAGGGAGAGCCCAGGGCAGGCAAAGGAAGGGGAGCTTCATGCACAGGTCTGCTCTCTCTTTTCTCGTCGTTTGACACCCACTGTGGGAAGGGGGCACGGTTGGCTCCCGGTGAAGAAGAGGGCGCTGAGATTTAGAAGGGTGGGAGAGACAGGCAGGGGGGTTGGGAGGCAGAGGGAGAGAGGGAGGGGGAGGGAAAGAGATCAAGCATCCTGTGTCTCTTCTTACGAAGGCACGGACCCCACTGTGGGGGCCTCACCCTCATGACCTCATCTAACCCTGATTACCCCCAGAGGCCCCACCTCCTAAGACCGTCACTTTGGGGGATAGGACTTCACATATGAATCTGGGGGGACACGGCACCTAGGAGGTTTATGGGACTTCAGGTTCGTGGCTATGCAGGGAAAGGCAGGATGTGCAGACAGACGCCGGTTGGTGGGTTCTGTTAGGAGCCCCCCGCAAGCTAGAGTCTCCTGCCACAGAATCATGGTCTTACCCACTCTACGCTGAAAGCCTCAGCCCAGACCCGTCCCTTATCCTCTGTCCCTAGCAGGGCGAATCGTCCCCCCAAAGCTATGTCCGCATCCTGCCTGCCTCGATGGCCCAGCCCGAGCTGTAGATAAAGACCGTGTCCTCTAGGCAAATCTCCCCCCGGGCTTCTGTTTCAGGTGCGTTCTTCACGACGGTGGTGGGTTTGGGCGCCATGTCTCTGAAGTTGGAGATCTGGGACACGGCTGGCCAGGAGAAGTACCACAGCGTCTGCCACCTGTGCTTTAGGGGTGCCAACGCTGCGCTTCTGGTATACGACGTCACCAGGAAGGTGAGGCTCACCTCCGGCACGTCCCCACCCTCCTCGGCAAGGTGTCTGCTTTCTGTTCTCTCAGGTGCAGGGATGCTCTCTTCTGAAGGCTTTCCGTGACCAGCCCATGCTGGTGCTTTATGGGAAAATCACCACAACCAGTAGACAACACTTTCGTGAACGTCTGTCACTTCCTCCAGGAAGCCCTCCCTGATAACCCCTGCTCCTACTACTGCATGGTTGAGTTTGTGTCCCTCCATGGTCCTCTCAGAACACCCTGCATAGAGCACTCCTATCCATCACTCATGATTCCTTGGGTGCCCACAGCATTGGTGAGGGGTGTGTCCTGGAGACAGCACACGGCCCCTGGCCCTACCTCTCCCCCAGTGTTGTGTGGGTCGATGCTAAGTACGAGCGAGCAGGTACTTAGAGCAGGAGGAGGGAAGGGCAGGGTTCTGTGGGAATTGATAGGAGGGGAACCTGACTCAGCTTGGGGTGGGGGTATTTCCTGCAGGAAGGGAGAGAAAAGTGGGGATCAGCCTGGTGGGGTGGGGTGGGGAGGAGGCGGAGGGCAGGTGAGAAGGAAGAGAGCAGAGTCTGTGGATGGGGTGGGGGTGGGGCAAGCAGGATGCCACGGGCTGCAGCGTGGGAGGCCACCCACTTGAGCAGCTCAGCTGTAGGGAGGGGAGAGGGGCTACTTGCGGGGACTGTCACATGGCCAGTTGGATCATATGCCTTTTCACAGGGCGGCCACCAACCTCTGCTTGTTCTTTGCCCGGATAGCCGATGAAAGCCACCCGTGGGATTTGTCTGATGTTGATTTTTTCCCTTTGTTAGGATTCCTTCTGCAAGGCTCGGCAGAGGCTAAAGGACCTGGAGAGGGAGTCCTCCCCCCCAGGGGAGGAGGTGGTGATGCTGGTCAGGAACAAGATGGACCTTGGCGAGCAGCGGGAAGTGACATTCCAGGTAGCTCTCGACACTGGGTCGTTTTGTTCCCCGAGGCGGGAAGAGACTGACCCCAAAGCACACATATCCATGCACACACACACACCTGCACCCTGTCACCCGCCCACTCACATGCACACACACACCCACCCACGTATGTCACATGCACAAACACATATACTTCCCATTTGAATTTCCCTCTTGGGCAAAGATTTCTGGGCTCTCCTGAAGAAGTCAGGTCTAGAGATGGCTATTCCGCAGACGTGGGGAGGGCTGCACGCACTACCCAGGCCAGCCCCCCTGCGAGCTGGCGGAGGGTTGGCCCCGTGTCCTGTCTCCCAGGGAGCGGGGAGACGCTGTGCGGCCTGCCTGCAAGGGCCCCTGCCGGGTTAGCCAGGGTCGCGAGGAGTCCACGGCCCTTCATACCCCGCCCTCCCATGTTCACTTATGTGGGTTTAGAGATCTTTTTCTTTGTGCTCAATAAATTATTGATCAAGGGACAGGCGAGTAAATCCAAATTTCCTTGCTAGGAACTGAGTGAGGGATAGACAAGAAGAAAGCCAGAGTTTTGTAAAACAACCAAAGGCAGAAAAAATGCCTTGGAGAGGCATGCAGAGTGCTGTGAGACATCAGGGCAGTGAGCGAGGGGTGTGTATGTGTCCGCGTGTATAGGGTGCAGGTGTGTGTGTGCGCGGGAGGGGTGTGTGTGTCCATGCGTATAGGGTGCAGGTGTGTGTGTGTGCGGGAGGGGTGCGTGTGTCCGTGTGTATAGGGTGCAGGTGTGTGTGTGTGGGTGTGTGTGTGTATGTCCGTGTGTATAGGGTGCAGGTGTGTGTGTGCGCGGGAGGGGTGCGTGTGTCCATGCGTATAGGGTGCAGGTGTGTGTGTGTGCGGGAGGGGTGTGTGTGTCCGTGTGTATAGGGTGCAGGTGTGTGTGTGCACAGGAGGGGTGTGTGTGTCTGAGCGTATAGGGTGCAGGTGTGTGTGTGTGCGGGAGGGGTGCGTGTGTCCGTGCGTATAGGGTGCAGGTGTGTGTGTGCGCGGGAGGGGTGCGTGTGTCTGTGTGTATAGGGTGCAGGTGTGTGTGAGGGAGGGGTGTGTATAAGTGGTGTTCATGCGTGCATAGGAGGGTGTGTAGGAATGTGTGTGTGCAGGAGTGTGTGTGTCTGAGTAGGAGTGTGTGTGTATAAAAGGGTGTGCAGGAGTGTGTGTGTAGGAGGTGTGTGTGTATAAGAGGGTGTGCAGGAGATGTGTGTATAAGAGGGCGCGCGCGCGCATGTGTGCGGGCAGGTTTCAGGAAAGGCTCTGGGAGGGCACGTGCCGGCGGGACGAGTGGAGCGTGGCGGGCAGAGGGAAGGGCAGGGTCCTGGCTGCAGGGGGGTCGGCTGACCTCGTCAGGAGGGGAAGGCCATAATGAGAGGGCATGTGGGCTCAGAAGCAGAGATCCCAGCATGTGGCATTAAGGATTGGGGCCAATATTTGGGGGGCAATAAGGAGTCCTTTGAGGATTTTGAGAAGCTGGGGGCCGGGGCGTGACGGGTGATTTGGAAAGAGTATTTGGAGGCAAGGTCAGGCCGAGCTGGGGAGACCAGGCCCTGGGAGACCAGGCTGGGAGGCAGGCAGCCCCGCTCGGGGGGTGTGAGAGGCTTCAGGCGGTGGCATCCCAAACTGGGCTGAGCCCGTCCCGCCCATGCAGGGAGGCCTCCTGGCTTAGAGCTCACAGTAACGGCCACCCTGAGGCCAGAGCCGTAGACCCCACCGGCCACCCGGGCCCTGGGCCAACCCCCTGGCCTCCTCTTTATTCCGAGCTCCCACTAAGCACAGCTGGGCCTTGGGTTGGGAGGGTCAGGTGCCAGGGACACAGGCGTCCAGCACGGGGGAGCCGGCAGGTTGCTTTGGCCGAGGTGGAGACAGGGCTGATCTTCGGGCAGCACGGATTTTAAATGAATTTTCGGACTCTCATTTTCACGTAATTTCAGAATTACAGAAAGTGTTGCAAAAGTACTACAAAAAGGTCCTGTATGCAGCCGCCCCCCAGTCTTCCCAAATGCTGACGGCTCGCATAAACACAGGACAGCGATCGAATCAGCAAGTGGACATTCATAGGATACTAAGTACTCATCTTACTCAGATTGTATGAGTTTCCCACTAGCATGCTTATGAGGCACTCCCTGCAGGGCTAACCCTGGGGAAAGCCAGGAGGGACCCCCAGAAGGAGGGCCCAGGTGGGCTCCCCGACCAGGGGCTCTGCCTTCCCCCTGTCCTGCCTTCTCACTTGGTTTTTCCCCACGTCAGAGCCCCCAAGTGCTGGAGGGAGAGATGTGAGTGCAGGGAGGGCTCTCCTGGAGGGGGGTGTGAGATTTCCTGGGGAGGGTGAGCACCTCCCCGCCTCCCCGCCTACCGCCTCCCTGGCCCTGGGCCCCTCCAGGAGCAGCAAGGCCCAGAACGGAGGTTCCTGGGTCTTAGAGGGCAGCCGAGTATGCCTGGGAAAGCGTGTTTTTGTAAGCGGTGTGGGGATTTTGTGGCTGTTCCCCACAGGAAGGGAAAGAGTTGGCAGAGGGCAAGAGATGCTGTTCATGGAGGCCTCGGCCAAACTAAACCACCAGGTGACCGAGGTCTTCAGCGCCGTAGGTGAGTGGTGGGGCCCCAGGAGAGCCGGGGTGGGGGCATTAGCTCCGGCTCTGCTTCTTGGCTCTTCTTTCTGGTGTCTGGGACCCGACAGAGTGTCTCCAGGGGCGGGAAGGTGAGCAGGATTGCCAGGGGCCCAGTGGCTCTGGGTAAACGTCAGGGAGGGTGGGGACCTGGGTGTGCCTGGTGTGCACTCTCCCAGACCGCCCTCCTCTGCCCTTCACAGCCCGGGAGCTCCTGCAGCGAGAAGAGGGGAAGGAGGGGCTGCAGCGCGGGGATGCAGGGCTGCCTCTGAACGGGGCACCTACCCGGCAGGCCAGATGCTGTGCCCACTAGCAGCGGCCGCGCCCGGAGGGGTCTGGGGAGGACACCCCCTGCCCAGCCCAGGTCGGGCTGCTCCTCGGGGAGGAGCCGCTGCCTCCATCCATGGAGCTGATTCACCGTCCGGGAAGCTTGCTCCCTGAGTCCTAGAGGTTCTGGGAGCTCCCTGAGCGTTCCCACTTCCCAAAGCTGGCGGGAATCATTCAGGAGAGGATCCCAGGCCAAAGGGCTTCTAGGAGTGATAGAGGAAATGTTCATGTTTTAGTGTTTCTGGGCCCTGCTCCTGGGGAAGCTGCAGTTTAATATTTACCAAGGTCAAAATGACTTGGTAAAACCTGTTCAAGGCACGGGCGCCATTTCTGCCCCAAGCGCACATTGTACATCGGCTTTAGTAAAGAAAAAAACCCAACAAGGAGCATCCCAAACATAAAGACGAGAAAAAGAAAATACCTCCCTGGTTCCTGTAACATTAAAGTCATATAACCTGGCACACACTAAAAACACAAGATAAAAATCTGTAACTTTCTGGAATGTCTTTTGTTGTGATGATTTGTAACTCTTTATGCAAAAGACATATATATGGAATGTTCCTTCTCCAGGAGCACGCTCTCCTTTGTGAATGTTGTGGGTCCTGGGCAGCTGTCCTCACTTGGGTTCCAAGAAAACACTTTTCCTTTTCTCTTTAACATTTTAGAAAAGGTTTGTTCAATTTGCGTTGTTGGGGGTGGGTGTTGGCCCCACCTCACCGGACACTGATGCCTGGTGCCCGGCCCAGTTGGCCGTCCCCTCAGCTGCCTCGCCACCAGACGCAGAGGAGGGAGGTGGGCCAGAGGGGACCGAGGATTGGGAACATGTGCTGCGCAGGGCGCCGTCTATCTGGGGCTGGGCCACCCGGTTCTGGGAGCGGGGGGAGAAGGGGACAGGCCCGCATGGTGGTGACAGTGCCAAGAAGATCATGGGGCTGCGTCCACTTCCTGCATCTCGGGGCGGTGGCCCCGGGAGGGACAGCGTCTAATGGGGCAGCTGGGGCGGGGTTGGGGGGCCAGGCCTCTCTCCGCTCTCTTCCCCTGGCTCTGAGTTTAGCAGGTGATGGTTGTGCCCAGCGAGCCTGAGGACGCAGACTTCTGGCCCGTGGTGTGAGTGGTACTGTTTATGTGTCGGCAAACATCAAACCACTTTCTCTAACCCGGTGTTGCTGAGTTTGCAAGGCTGGGGTTAGTTATGCCTCGTGTTCCAGGAGGGCTCATCCTGAGCGAATAAGGAGGCAGGCCCATGCACCGACTGTGGCTCAGGAGGCACAGGACATTTCTCCAGGGGTGACACGTCATGCGTTCGCCCCGTTACTGCCTGCCTTTAGGGGGAGGCCCCGATAGTCTTTTGGGAGCTAAGCCCTGATGTTGAGGTGAGGGTAGTTCAGAGGGGACTCTCTTTTGTGAGGGGGAGGGGTGGTGTTGGTTTCATCCTTTCGTCCTTGGGTCTGGGAGAAGCAAGTCTGAAATTATAAATACTGACATCGCTGTCCGCCTGAAAAGGCCGGCTTCACTGTATTCACTGTAAGGATCAGCAGCAGGACAGGTGTTAAGCATCCCTTCATGATGACGCTGAGCTCTGGACACCCATGAAGGGCGTGCCAGCATTTCTACGGGTTCCTCTGGACTGGTTCTCTGCTCGTGTCCACCCTGCATGGGCCCATCATCCCAGCCATGGACCTGGACCTTTGGCTGGGGTCCAGCGGACGGGGAGCCCAGGACTGACCAGGACACATCCTGGCATTGGCTAGGACCCGTCTAGCTGAGGTTGTCTCAGCGTGGCTGTATCCCGCCAAAGGTCAGGGCTCCCCATAAGGCTCCCTCCTACGTTCTGGCCCCTGGTCCCTCCCTCATCCAGCAGGCCTGGGACCTCCTGCATTCCAACCTCATGGAAGGAGGTTGCGCCCAGGCTCTGAGAAGGTGGGGACAGCCCAGGTGCCCCACAGATCCAGGCCTTCCTGATGCATATTCTCAAGGAGATTCTCGTGTCTTTCCAGGCAAATGCAGATTTCACAAGGCTTCTCTTGTCATGATTGTCAATAAAAGCTAAAGGATAGATACAGAGATAAAAGCGTCCGAGAGAGCCTGCTACCCAGATTTCCACTCACGCTATTGTTTCTTAAACAATTTCATCGGTTTCTGACTGTAGTCAAGTTGCACGGTGTTTCATATGATTATTCCCACAGAGATGAATTACGTGGGGGTGAGTCCCTGGGGTGCCAGGCTATGTCTTTCGCTCTCCCGGCGACCTCCCCGCTGCAGCAGGGCTGGGGACCCCCTCTGTGCGCACCTGGTGGGACCAACCTTGGACACTTGTGTGTCCCTGACCACTAGATGGCGCTCCAGCATCGCTCAGGGCAAACCCTGCGGCTCAAGGACACGTGGGCCCAGCATTCTCTCTGCGAAATGCCAGGCTTTCAGAGAAATTTCCGACGAGTTGATTGATGCCACAGCAAGTAGGGAAATAACGATCATGCGTGTAGGTGCCCACATATCTATGCCTATTTCCCTCCTGTTTTGTCAAGTCAGTATCACTGTGCTAGAATTTATTATTAAAACATATCCTTGGACTGATTTCCACCAGGCATCCTTCCACCGTGCCCCTAGACTGGATGGGGTGCATTGTGCTTCTGGAGCTCAGGTTGCCCATCTCCCGAGATGTGATTGCTTCTCATCCTCTCTTCTGCCCCACCAGGCAGGTGGCTCAACCCTGTTTTGGAATCACCTGGAAGACTCCGCTTGCAGCGCCCCTTGCCCACCACAGGCTGTCATTCCATCCGTCTACGGTGCAGCTTGGGCCCTGGGCTCTGGGCGTTTTGAGCCCTCCCCGGTGAACCTAATATTCTGGCAAGGTGGGGAATGTCCCTGAGGGCAGAGGTTTTGTTCTTCCTTCTGTGGGGTGCTCGGTGCCTGGCAACATCTGACACAAGTCAGGTGCTCAACAAATGTGTGTCCAACAAGAGGATAGAAATTGGTCCTTCCCCTGAGGTCTAAAGGAAAGGCAGTCTCCAAAACCAGCCTCCACAACAACTGACAGGTGTTTATGGAAGGTTTTCTGTGCCATGCTTTGCCCACCTCAGCTCCATCCTGAAACCTGTGATGGGGGGGCAGTGGGTGTGGAGCACGCAAAGGGATGCATTCCCCAGGAAGACTCCTGGAATACCACTTCCAGGTCTGCATTGGCCTCAGGTCCCGAGGGAGGCCAGCCTGGGAGCCCCCTGTCCCGCCTGCCGCCTGGGAAGCTGCTCCAGCCCCGCTCAGCCTGAGTTTGGATCTGGCTCCTCTCTGGAGCTGTGTGTGCGTGTGTGTGTGTGTGCACGCATGTAGGTGATGGGGGCAGGAGGCTCCCAGGGTTCAGAAGTGGCCCCTCGGAGGAACCCTGCTGACCTGCTTGTGACTGTACCCCTTCCCTGTCTTCTGTTTCTGTGGGAGGGGTCTCCCCCAACCACCCTGGAAGAGCCCCCTTCCCACAGTCAGAAAGAAAACCACAAGGCCCAAGGAGTCACTGAAGTTAAGCCATCAGTAAAGCCAGATTTAATACTTAACCCAACTGCAGTTTCAAGCCCCTCTGGAATGTAACCTTTAACCTGCCACACTGGAATTTCCTGGAGGCACTCCTCTGAAAGACCCCTTCCCCCTTACAAGGGCGACCTTGCCTAAACAACGCTAATGAATTCCTTAAAAAAAAGGGAGCCTTCTCTCTGCGTTTAAAAAGCTTTCCTTTTCTGCACCTTGGCAGAGCATCTCTCTACTGGCTAGACTGGATGCTGCCCCATTCATGAGTCACTTAATAAAGCCAATTAGATCTTCAAATGTTTGAATTTTGTTTTTTAACAGCCCAGAGGGCCCAATTCAGGGATCCATTCTTCTTTTAAAATTTATTCCTGGGGCTCTTGGGTGGCTCAGTCCATTGAGCTGTCTGCATCAGACTCTTGATCTCAGCTCAGGTCTTGATCTCAGGGTTGTGAATTCAGGTCCCGCGTCGGGCTCCATGCTGGGTGTGGAGCCTGCTTAAAAAAAATTTATCCTCGGGGCGCCTGGGCGGCTCAGTCGTTAAGTGTCTGCTTTCGGCTCAGGTCATGATCCCAGGGTCCTGGGATCGAGCCCCGCATCGGGTTCCCCGCTCCGTGGGAAGCCTGCTTCTCCCTCTCCCCACCACCCGCTTGTGTTCCCTCTCTCACTGTGTCTCTCTCTGTCAAATAAATAAATAAAATCTTTTAAAAAAATTTATCCTCTTCCTGGGGCTCCCACTGGCTAAAGTGAGGACAATCTGAGCATCCAAAATTTTTCGTCAGTGTTGAACAAAGAGAGAGGTGGGTGGGACCTCCTTTAGAAGAATCCAGCTAATAAATGTGGAAGGAATCGGAGAATCTCCTTTGTGCGACGGGATGTTTAGTGGGTGCTTAAATCACTGGCTGGGGGCTCTGGGTAGACCGGCTCCTGCCTCAAGCACACAGTGAGCCACAGGAAGGCCCCTTAGAGTCGAGATCCACCTCTATGGGAGGGTCAGGCCCAGCATCTGCCAGAGCAGGGCCCGGACTGTCCATCGGACGAGGTGCAATAGAAGAGACACAGGGCCCTTGTGTCCCCAGTGAGTCACCAAATCCAGCTGAGGCCCTGGATCTCCCTCTCAGACCACAGGAAATGTGGGTACAGAACAGAAACAAAGTAACAACCCTCCGGGGGAACAATCCACACATCACACACTGGATCATTCTATAGGATACTGTGTCTGGGGTCTTGTAAAAGTCAACGTCATGACAAAATAAGATCAGGGACTAATGAGCAATACCTAACAGCAACAGTGAATTTAGATTGCAACCTGGTTTCAAAAAAAAAAAAAAAGAAAAGAAAAGAAAGAAGAAAGAAAGAAAGACAGCCAAGACTTTCTGGCCACACTTATGGATTTTTGAATATGGACTAGAAACTAGATGATATTATGGAATTATTCGAAAATGATTTAAGCACAATAATTTTATGATTATG